GTCCCATCAAAGGAAACGGCAATATTTCCAGGATTTCCATAGTTGAGTTCGGAATGCACCATCTTCACGGTACTCGCGCAGTCGTCAATAACGCGCGCGGTAGCCTTCTGCGCGGCAGGGTTCATTTTCAATTTCACATAATCCTGGTATGTCTTGGTGTGCAGACCTCTCCGTGAAATATTTAGGGCGGAAAAAATATCATTGAGCGCAGTTTGCCCGTTTCTTGTGCTCATTGCCGCGCGAACCGCGAGCACGTTATTTCGAAGGGGCCATGCGCTGCGTCCTCCCCTGCTCTCGGCGAGCTCCATACGGTCCTCAGTTTACCGCACTCGTCACATGTGAGAACAAGTCAGCGACTATGCCATATTCGCGGTCTTCCTTGGAGATTCTGCCAGGCCCGCCACACACACCGCACTTCATACACTGAAGAAGTTCGTTGACCAACTCTAAGCTAACGACGGTGAACGGCGTACCAGGCGTTGCGGCTCCACCCGAGTCTCGAAAAAAAGACCGCTTGCGTTTTGTGGCAGACTTCGATGAAAGATCTTGCAGAACATCGCTCGCACGACACTCGATGGCCACTTTTTCAGCGTCAAAAACCAGGGGAGTGTCGACGCGCAATGCTCTCGAGTGATCTTGGGACGCGGCTATCGCTTCCGCGATCGCGGGTGCCGCGGCGTTCATAGCGCTGGCACAGCCTGCTTCTTCCGAGTTCTCGGCGGCAGAAGGTCTCGCTGGTGATAAAATGCGGGCTCTCGGACGCCGTTTTCCCCTTTTTCCGAACGCATGAGCACTCCGGAACTTCCGATGACCGCCTATTTGCACCGAATGCACAGCCGTTGTTATGCCTCTACGCAAAATGGCAGCTTGCACGCCGCTGTCTAGCAGACGAATCCCTTCACGTCCAATAGGAAACCGGGAACTGCCCCACGTGACAAAAACGCACCAATGATGTGCGAGTATTCAGTTTTTCTTTATGCGCGATAGCTGCGTTGTTGCTAGACGAAAAACGTTCTTCTGCTAGGAACAGATAATAGAAAAATGAGTCTTTAAAATGAGACCGAAATGGCCGCGCTACTTGGTGCGGTTCTCGCGTGCTGCGGCGTTGAATACGACCGTTTTTGAGGTGGTTTCGGAAGAGAGAATGGTCATCAAACTGGCTTTGCGACTCAATAACTCGACAAATACGCATTACAGAGCTAGAATATTTTAGGAACAGCTTCCTTAGACCTGAATAATTATGAAAAAAAAAAAAAAATACTTCCAAAAAACGGTTTTTCGGAAACTTTTCAGCCTCCCATACCCGTGTCTCCCCTTAACTGTAGTTCATTGGTCCCGGCATAGTTCTCATAGAATCCCATGTATTGCAAACCCCACTGTTGCATCGCAACTGTGAGAACGTTCCTGCATGATGCATCGCAACCTTGTCTGCTGAACCCGCTCGGGAACCACCATTTTGATTTGACATTTGACAGTCTTGGCCTGGCTTGGCTACAAAACAGACTGCAAGAAGCTGCAGGCGAGTTGGAGAGGCCGCCCTAATATGGCCATTTGTGAAAAGTGTTATCACCATCATGACATGTGCTTACAACGGAAGTTTCACTACGGATTGCCAGGAAGTGCGTGACAGTCCCACTGCTGCACGCCTACACGTTGTGACTCGTCTTCAGTCACTGTTGTGTGCACAGAGCTTGTTACCGTTGAACTTGTCAACGCAATCTTTGTCAAGCCTTAATGGCGTCGTATAAGCGGAAAGCACTCTCCCTTGAGGAAATGCTCGACGTATTTAAAGCAATCGACAAGTAGCCAGCGCGAAAAAGGATCGACATTGCGAAAAACCTTGGACTGCAGCCGTTAACGCTCAACAGCATAGTCTCGTTGCATCGTCTCTATAGCTTCGAGATACCACAACACCATCATTTTGGAACTCGCCCTAAAGGTATTTACTAAGGAGCATTCCATGTTCAAAAAGCACATTTCTGAAACTAATTTCGAGGTCTCTGATTAGCTCCTTCTTCCATGTTGCTCCAGTACGCCTCGCTGGTCCAATGCTCTTTCGGGATACGCCTCCGGCATAGCATCATCTGCTTCTCGTGCGTTGCGAGTTCGTAGCTTTCTAAAATCGTGCAGCTTAGCGACGTTTTCACACTTGTTCTGTGTTTACGGGTCGACGATAATTCAGGATACAACTAATGCCTTAGTTAAAGTAGCAGCATTGAAACGTAAGTTAAGTCATCAGATTACGATCACGCGCCACACTCGTCGCGAACATCGCACACATGCGTCTCGAACGGACTGCAGTGTTGACTCGTTGGCAAGAAGGTTTTGTTTATCAGTGCTTCGAACCTTGTGATGAAGACTACCACGAAACAAATCTTTGTACTTGCGATCGAGCATGTCGTACTTTGAAACATCATGTGCCGCCTTGCCCATCGCAACCGTGCTTTCTGTTCGAAGTCGTGGCTGGGCTTAAGGCTTAACTCCGCCCCGAACTTGGCGGGCGAGAACACCGTGCTGCAGGTTATGCGAAAGCCAAGAAGCTGTAATGTGCTTTGTTGCAAGCAACTGAATCACATCAGCCACTGGCTACTTAAAACCATGAATAGGCATCTTGTGCATCAGTAGCGTACCCCAGCCAAGCCCGCTGCGCACCAACAGCTCGGAACAGCAATGGCAGCGCAATCATTAATTTCGCGCGTCAGGGCCCCAGTACACAAAACTAAGCGCACTGCACAATGATTGTTCGTCACCATAACAAAGCACAATTAATCAATAACAGACCGGAGGTCTGCTTCCTTCATTTTTAAATCAGTACATTATTATCCGCGGCACTATTCTCGTTCCTAAAGTATGCCATGCGATCTTTGAAGACAGAAGTTATAGAATTTACGCTTTCTGTGGTAGAAAAGTGCACTCTAAGGGAGTCCTGACCACCTTGCTGGCCTCACATTTTGGTCAATTATATCCGAATGTCCGTTGTACCAAAGTCCGTAGTAAATCTTGACCCACAAATCTTATAATGGATCGAGTGCTTCTTACGTAACCGCGAGCAATTTGTGACTGCTAATGAATGTAACTCTCCTCCTACTGGCGTAACCTCAGGTGTGCCTCAAGGCTCTGTTTTGGGTACCTTACTATTTTAATATATATTAATGATTTGCCTCATAACATTTCTTCCTCCATTAGGTTATTTGCTGACGATTGTGTTATTTACCGTGAAATTTTTACCTCTAACGACACTGACACCCTGCAATCTGACCTAGACAATATTTCTTCTTGGTGTAATAATTGGCTAATGAAACTTAACACAAATAAATGCAAATCAATGAGAATAGCACGTAACCCTTCAAAAGTTGCGTCCCTCTCGTACCTACTTAATAACACTCCCCTAAACAACGTTTCTTCTAACAAGTACCTCGGTATTAACATTTCTAACAACCTGTCATGGCAGGCTCATGCTGACTACATAACATGCAACGCTAATCGAACTCTTGGCTATTTACGTCAAAATTTTTCTTTTGCTCCAATTAACCTAAAGCTTCTCCTGTATAAATCATTAGTGTGGCAAAAACTAGAATATGCATCGTCTATCTGGGATCCTTATATTCACATGCTCATAGACAACATTGAATCCATTCAGAATCGCTCAGCACGTTTCATATTGTCCAATTACTCTCGAACTGCAAGTGTCAAATTAATGAAGGCTCAACTAAATTTGTATAACCTCTCAATATGAGGCAAAAATTCACGTCTCTGTCTCATTATATCTATCACACTAACAGAACCCTCTCTGATTCACTGTTTTTTCCACCAGACTACATATCAGCACGCAATGACCATCAATACAAGGTTGGGGTTCCTTTCTGCCATATGAACCAGCACTTCCAACTCTTTCATCCCTAGAACATGTACTGACTGGAACCACCTTCCCGCATCGATCGCTTTAATCACAGACGCCAACGCGTTCAAATCAATCATTTTTGAAAGTGCATTATAATTTATTCTAATCTTGCTGTTTTGTTCTACTTCTTATTGATATTTGTTGTCCCACTCCTCTCTGTAATGCCCAGTGCCTTGAGAGTAAATAAATGAAATGAAGCTCAATCAATGGAACAAATATGGAGGTCGGAATAATGTCACCAATTAGTACGTAATATCCGAATGCCTGTTGTAAGCAGATCCGTTGTAACCAGGTCACACTGCACATGTATGCCAATTGAGAAAGGCAAGAGACCTAACTTTTTTTTTTTTTTCATTATAGCTAATCCCAACAAAAAGATCAAATAAAACTTGCCTGCATATTAAACGCATTCCCACCTTTACTTCAATTAGGGGGGGGGGGGGAGGGGAAGTGTGTTCATTACGCGAATATTTGCTAACGTGACAATCGCAATATGCGGCCTCTTCATTTTCGCGGAAAACTTCCGCTACATAATTCTCACACCTCCCAACTTTTCGTCGTTTTTTTGTTTAAAAAGTGCAAGGATTACGCTATTTTCCTGCTGCTGCCCTCCGACCTTGCGACATTCACAAAAATATATTTGGAGTACAACATGAGCTCTCATCTCACCGCATGGTCATGGCTTCAAGAGTGAACTTGCCATGTATTCAAAAGGACGCGTGAATCGAAAGATTTCGCGTGAGATCTACTGTGATGACTTTAATCCAGACGGAGTGGGAGTACAATGAGACAGCTTTGAACAGCCTATTTCACGCTGCTGCAATGTGAAAGCAGACACGAACCAACTATTATGGACATGCCCTAAGCTAAAAGCAGTTCATGATACCATCTGCAGCAAGAGAGTGCACCAGGCCACCTGACTTCACACAGTCTGTATCGGAGGTCCCTCGTGGACATTTATGAAGGAAACACAGCTCCACCATTTTGAGCAAGTTGCATTAGTGCCTTATGGCCATCTAATGAAAAATTGAGCAAAAAGGTACGAGACAAACAAACAAACAAAAATACAGCAACAGCCAAGAGAAACTCTCCAACTCACTGTCTCTGCCAACGCCCCGTGGCTGGATTGTAGAAGCCTTTGGGAAGAGGCGGCTCTCCCCGCATTCGCCTCTGGTGGTTGCGTCCATCGTAGTGCTGTTTTGCCTGGACCTCGGAGGTAAACGCCACGTCACAAAGCTTGCAGAACTTCTCCAGGGTCTCTGGTACGGGCCGCTTCCCTCCTTCCTGCAACCACGAAAATTCCATGCATAACCAAGACTTGAATGGGGCGGCTTTCTAGGTGCGCTGCTAAGCCGCCAGACCAAGCTTCAAGTTTGTCGAATACAAATTGGTTATTCACACTTTCTTCTTTGGTACTAGTGCTTCACGAAGAATGCTTAAGTTTAGGCTTGTGCAAATTGTAAATTTTAGATTCGAAGCAAATTCAAAGCGAATAGTGATTTTAGTCATATAATTTCTAATCAAATTCGAATAGTACGAGGGTTGTAGCAAAAGTAAAGTAAAATCCTAAAAAATGTTCGTAAACTAAAAGGTACTTGCATATCAGTCCAAAACAATTACTCGCGAAACACCTTAAGGAAACAAAAAACTCCTGTGGCTTAGTGCTAAATATGATAGAGAGCAAGGCAAGAAAGTTAGCCTACTTAATGATAAACTGTGTATTAACAGCGAATTCTTCACATGGGATGAGAGTAAGATCACAAGGATCAAAATGTGCGGTTGTCAAAACAAGTCCAGAAATTCTTGACTTTCCTCGGTTCAGGCTTCTCCTGATTCTAAAGAATTTCGTGTTCTAAACATTAATGCCCGCAGTGTCATTAATAAATCGAAATCCTCGAGGCTACAATTTTAAGTTAATTCTCATGTAATAGTCAGAACTGAAACATGTTTGCACGATGATAATGAAAATACAATCGTGTTTCCTCCGTCGTATCGGGTGTATCGCCATGACAGAAGTACTAGAGGGGGCGGGGTGGCTGTTCTGTTAAAACACACCATAACTGCTACTCGCTCTACCACAGGCTGACAAGCTAGAAATTGTTTCAATGTTTTCTTGCTGGGATAGAACATTCCCTGTTTTTTGCCATTTGTCGAGCGCCGAACTCTTCCCCTGAATTCCTTTGCGATCTTCTTCAACACATGGCATCTTTTACAAATGATAAGGTACTTTTTATAGGAGACTTCAATCTACCTGATGTCGATTTGGAAAATGGATTTTTTTCGCACCGAAAGTCATTCACATTTACGTTACTTGCAGACATTATCCTGTCTCACAATCTTCATCAGATAGTTAATCAGCCAACGCGTGCTTGCGGTTTAACAGCATCTATACTTGACCTCGTGTTTATTAGTCGTTCTCTAGAACACTTCTTTGTGTCGGTTGACCCGGAGATTTCCGATCACAACCTAGTATATTGTTCTTTTTCTTTGGATGTGCCTAACACCAGAGAGTGCAAAACGATCACAGTTAAAGATTTATCTCCTGCCAGACATGAAAGAGTCTTAGACTACCTGGAACTAAATCTTGACTATTTTCGTAGCAACGATGTTACTGTTCTTCGGAATCGGTTTAAACAACTCATTGCTCACTGCCTCAGCAACTTTAGTGTTTAGTGTTATTGTTCACCAAATGCAAAATAAACTAAATGAAGAAGTACTACTAGCTAAGCGCTGGCGTTTTCAGCACACGTTGCCAAACTTCATCTGCACAGCACCCCAAAAATTTTGTCTTTTTTAAGCAAGAAAACAAATTCAATTGACCAAATTGTTCACAAAGGCCTCGTCATCGCCGATAAGAAATGTATCGCAGAGCACTTTAATTATTATTTTCGAAGTGTTTTTTCTCATTCTGATACTGCTACAAACCCTGATCGCATGCCATGTCACTCAAACTTCGATATCATATCAGAACCAGGGGTTGTGCCAATGCTGTTGAACCTTAAAGTTAATCCTCTCCAGGAACAGATAACATATCGTATGCCTTTCTGCACAGGTATACTGAAGCACTAGCTCCCTTTCTAGTAATCATTTATCGTTCCTCGTTGTCACCAGCTACTGTTCCTGAAGACTGGTTAACTGCACGGGTCGTTCCCATTCTGAAAAAGGGCAACTTAGCCCAACTAACCAATTATCACCCCATTTCATTGACGTCTGCATGCTACAAGTTAGTCAAATGTATTATTGCTAATGAAATAACGAAGTTTCTAAATGATAACAATGTACTGTCTCTACACCAACATGGTTTTCGCAAAGGGTTATCCACTGTTACACAGCTTACGACAATCATTTACTACCTTGCTAGTACTCTTGACAAGTCAAGCCAAATGGACATTATATTTTTGGATTTTAAGAAAGCATTTGACCTTGTTCCTCATAGTAAACTCTTAAAAAATTAGTCAATTAACCTTCCAGCATACATTATTAACTGGGCAGCAGCTTACTTGTCTAATCACAAGCAGTTTGTATCAATAGATAATTATTTTTCTAATGAACTTTCCATAACCTCTGAAGTTCCCCAGGGTAGTGTTTTAGGGCCATTACTGTTTCTAATATATATAAATGACATTGTTAATGAAATTTGTCCCTGAGTACAAATTAGGCTATTCTCAGACGATTGTGTTTTGCTTAACGAAGTTTGTTCCCTTAATGATCAGTTAATACTTAACTCTAACCTTCAAAACATTTTGTCGTGGTGCAATTAGTGGGGCATGGAACTGAACACTGACAAAACAGTTTACATGTCTGTAACAAAAAAAAGGTTAACAAATTGTTGTTCATTTACAACCTAGAATCCACACCACTCACCAAAGCAAATTAATATAAATACCTTGGAAACACAATAACCAGTGACCTAAGCTGGAATAAGAACATTTCCAACATCTGTAACTTTTCTTTCAAGAAACATTGTATCCTAAGACACAAACTAAAACATGCTCCTCATGACACTAGACTTTGGCTTACACATCACTAATCCGACCATAACTCGAATATGCTTGCATCGTATGGGACCCCTACACAAAAACTAACATGGACTGGATTCGTGCCAGGGTCCTTCCTATTCATAAAGGGGGTAACAAATTACTTGTGACCAATTACAGGCCGATTTCACTGACTAGTTCTTGTCGCAAGCTAATGGAGCATATAGTCAACAAGGCAATCACCACTTACTTAGAAGATAACAACCTACTTTACTCCAAACAACACGGCTTTCGGAAAGGGCTCTCTACCATAACCCAACTTCTCGAAATAGCACATGACTTTGCTACCGTAATTAACTCAAGACTTCAATGTGACGCAATATTCATAGATTTCTCCAAAGCATTTGATAAGGTGCCCCATCAAAAACTAATTGACAAGCTGAAGATTATCGGGATTGAAACCAACATAGTACACTGGATAGCCGCCTACCTCTCAAACCGCAGTCAGCACGTTAAAGTAAACGACGCTGAATATGAAGAGTTAGACGTTTACTCGGGGGTCCCACAAGGGTCTGTGCTAGGCCCGATTCTTTTCCTAATTTTCGTTAATGACATTCATTGTCATGTTGAACCTGACGTCACAGTTAGACTGTTTGCTGACGACTGTGTCATTTATACCACAGTACGAGCGATGGACGATCAGTTACGGCTTAATACCTCCCTAACTAACATTTCAAGACGGTGTCAAGAATGGGGAATGGAAATAAACGTAGGAAAAACCTCGTTTATGCATATAACCCGAAAGAGAGCACCCTTAAAATTTGCGTATCATTTAAATGGACTACACGTAGCAGAGGCCGCTTCGGTGAAATATTTGGGTGTTACCATCACAAACACATTAAAATGGGATGTTCACATTAACCAGACGTGCACAAAATATATCTTCGCAGGAAACTCGCTCTAGCCCCTTCCAAAGTGAGACTAACAAGTTATAAATGCCTTGTACGACCAATCCTCGAATACGGCAGTGTAATCTGGAATCCGCATCAAACTTACCTTCTTAACCAGCTGGAGGGAATACAAAATAAAGCGCTCCGATTTGTGTATTCTCAGTATTCTCGAGATGTCAACATAACCGAGCTCCGCAATAGGGCAAGCATTCAAACACTGGCGATCCGGCGACGCATAGCTGCATTAAAATTTCTTTATCTGCTTTATCATGACATTAACATCAACAAACACGAGTACTTGAAACCACCATATCAGCGCTCCGCCAGAACAAACCACGACAAGAGTATCAGGCCTTTCATCTCCCGTTGCAATTCATTTAAGTATTCCTACTTTCCGTCAGTAACAGAAATATGGAATAACCTGCCACGTGATATAGTGTCCTCAGAATCTCTCGAATCATTCACTGCCAATCTTGAAAAGTTTTTGGATCAGTAAGTTGCAGCGTTGTAGAATAATGGCGCACCTTTTCATTGAATGTACGTTTTGACTTGTATGCCCCTCGATGTTTCAATTCTCAGATCTGTGTCTAATATGCACTCTTCCCTGTTAGTCTGTGGTGTTTTTATTCTGTTTTATTTCTTGGTTCTTCGACTAGATGTACAGTTGTAATTTGTAATTGTTTAGAGTAGTCTGTACTGTTCATTCTTATTTTTTCCCGTGTTCATTTTTTTTTTGTGGTCTAATGTAAAGATGACAATCTGTATAATTTCTCCCACTCCTGTATGAGCCTGTTAAGGCTTACAGTATCAATAAAATAAATAAATAAATAATGCCTTAGAGATGATACAATGCCAAACAGTTAAGTTTATTTTCTCTAAATATAGAATACATGACTCTCCCACAGCCCTAATGATACATCATAATATTCAGACTCTACAACTCCACAGGAAAATACACCGGTTAAAATTTCTTTTCTAACTTAAAAACAATTGCTTCTCTCTTTACCCACAAGCCTATGTGTCCCCATTTACAGCACGTCGAACAAGGCATCGTCATGATCTTTCTCTAATGCCATACAGCACCAGAACTAACTTATTTAAGTTTTCCTTCTTCCTACAAACTGTAAACAATTGGAATAACCTGGAGGCATTGCAAATAATAAATGCAGATTCTATTGAACGTATATCCATTTAATGTTAACAACAATGTCACATTGATTAACCCTTCGTTCCTTAGTTTTACTGTTACTGTTCTTGAGTATTTAAAAAGTGTTATTGCTGTCTTTGATCTTGTATGAGTATTGTCTAATGTTCATGTGTGTGCATTATGTTTTGTATTACTTTTGTTTTATTCTTATGCTATTGTTATTCTTTTTTTCTTTTTTGGTCGTTTAAACTTGTTTTATTTCATTGTGGTTTCTCTGAATGTATGTATTTATGTGCTGCCCTCCTGCGTGAACCCAATTAAGGTCTGCAGTATTCTGTAAATAAAATAATAAAATAAATAAATAATACATCATAACAAGCTCTCTAACTAAAATTATGAATTGATGTCACACTAATATGTTCATTTACCCTTCAAATGGGGCTTTGCGACAGTTCAGATTCCCCCTAAAAAGATGTTTTCACGGCTTAGGATTCTTTTACTGCAATAACGCTGCCTTTACATATGATTACATGCAAACTAGAGCATATTTGATAAGTGCTTTCATGGCTTAGCATCTCTATACTGCAGTGAAACCACCTTTACAGAAGGTTACCTGCAGGTTAGTATACAGCTATCCCTTCATTTCGAATACAGTCGAGCCCACATATAACGGCCCCACTTAAAACGAACTTTCGCTTAAAACGAACAATATTCGCGTGACCGTCAAAATATACATTGGTTCAATGGCACAAAATCGCACTTACAACAAACGTCTCCGAGCGCTGCTGATCGGTTACAACGAACGGAGTCAGCGGTCTGCCGACTTCCCGGGAAACCAATTTTGACCACTGATCAGGCATGGGGGAGGTGCCCATACAATATTATTGTTAAACGTTGACCCTGCCTCCGCGCCCCTTAAGTTGCCGCTCTCCTTGACCGCTTTTTGTTCCGCACCCCTCCATTCTTTGTCCCCCCCACCCCCCGCTACCCTGTGCACACCGCATCGCCAGACGAGGCCCGTGTTTTCACATTGCCACCGATCTTTCGAAAACCGGTCGGCCAATTACCCTGTTTTCGATCGCTGATACTGTCCTTGGTGGCGCCGGCCTAGAGTAACCAGACCATTTGCCAACATCGTCAGCTACCGACTGTATCCGATAGTCTGCGTCTAGTGCACGCGCGTACGCTACCCCACCGACTCTGATAATTTGCGATTAGTTTTGTGTTTAGGACTTGTTTTCGCTCACTTCGCACTCAACTGAGCATGCCTTCCGCGTGTGTGCGGAAGCACGAAAACGGCTGTTAATTAGCGCGGAATGAATCGCGAAATATCGAAGTTCGTAAGGCCATGCAAACCCGCCGGTGCAACAAAACGATTTTTTGACAACGGCCGCCGATTCTTTGAACACCGCCGCGCACACCGATTCAAGCGGCCATGCACTCTTACGAAGTTTTTCTACGTGCGAGTTTGGCGGACCTTTTAAGCAAGCTACCCAACCTGCCTCCTTCCCGTATGTTTTGGTTTTCAAGGTCGCCCTCCCGCCACATCCTCCTCTCTCTTTATCGCAACTCCTTGCCCTTCTCTCGCAAGTCTGCTCACCTCTCTTGATCACAACCCCTTCGCCTGTCTCCGCTGCTCCGTGACGCCCGCCACGCTGGCTTGAATTAGTTTCGTTTTCTGACTGGAAACGGGCCTAGAGCTGCTCCACACGCTCTGGCATGTGTGTCGCGTGTGCATGTCTTGCTCGCTATTGGTGTGCGTGTGTGGTCATGATGGCCGACGGGGGGACAAGCACGCTTTTTCGTGCCGCACAACAAAACGTCGAAACTGTGACCGCTTGGCTTGAGCGTAATCAGCACGTTTGGTGCCGCGTTGCGAAGCGCTTGCTCATAGCTGTTGACCGCCTGGCAGCCAACTTGCCGCTTCGGGAATCCCTGTATTCAGCTGTGGAGATGGTGAATATTTCGTGGGCGGCGGTGACGACTACATGCGCGCGAAACTGTTTTCGCGAGGCCGACTTCGTCGACGTCGGGCCCGATGCCGAGCCTGAAGCTTCCGAACTGCGGCGGCGATTTGTGGCCATGCGTCGTCGACTCCGACCTGGGAGAGCAGGTGGGACATCTGTTGCGATGGTTTAATTACGGCCGATGATGATGCCGACACTGCGGAACCGTGCAAGGATTGGGGCATTGTGAATTAAGTACGTGGCGAGAGCAAATTTGGAGGAATCGGATTGCGAGAACAACGAAACTTTGGAGCCAGTGCCTCGTGCAGCTTATGCCGCGGGCCTTGGCGAACGAGCACCCTGCCGTTTTAAATGAACTCGAGACCACCCTTATTGCTTCTGCTCTTCGAAACACGTGCATCGCGGACTTTTTGGGGCAAATAAAGTTTGTATTTTCACTCGCAACTTTTTTTAAAGCTGTGTTTCATTTACTACGAACTTTGGGATACAGCGAACGGATGGCGCGTCACGCTCAGTTCGTTGTAAGCGGGCTAGACTGTATTTCGAAATTTTAAATAATTTAAATTCGAGCCATGGGGAATTCAAATACTGTAATATTCATTCGAATATTCGCTGAAGCCTACTTAGCCGAGCTAACCGTAGAGCAGACGGCATGACACGCCTATGGATGCTATGGAGGCAGGGAGCAAGAAGAATGTCTGACAAGGCCTTTCTTGATCACTGCCAAGTGTTTGTGTGGGCACCAGCAGCTTTCTAGAACTTGACTCATGTTAAATCCTTCCTCTACCATTGACAAGGCAAGTTCCTTCACAATGTTCACAGCACTCCCCCCAAAAACAAGTTGGAGTTATACATGCAAAAAAAAGGCGCTCCTGGGACGTCACAGATAAGTTACACTAACCACTTCCATTTAAGAGGCCCTGCAAGACTTTCGAGTAATTGTCGCATGGCTTCAATGAAAAAAAAGTTCATCGCTCACTAACTGAAAGCCGCAGAGATTTTTAAGAATCTGTCAAGCACGAACAAAGCTACAGGGCATAGTTGTACACTTCAAGTGCTTTCTCTCTCGTTTCGTACCAGCGTGGGCACTGAAAGCAACAAAACGGAAAGGAGGAGGACAAGAGGAGCAATAACCTACACACTGCTAGTATTCAGTACCAACTCATTTTATTTATTCCTTCACTCACTCCTCTCTCAGATCACTTGTACAGCATGACCACTACCACTACAGTACACTCCCTTTAAGACGAACTTGAAGGGACCACAATCATTTGTTCGTCTTATCAGGAGTTCATCTTATCAAAAGAGCCTTCAAAAACCAAATGCTAACATGCCAAGTGCACCCAAATATGTTGCTTGAAAACACTGAATGGCGTATATTTGCAATGGGGAGGAAAGGAACAAGAAAAAGCATTTATTCAGCTCAGCTTGATAAAAACTAATCATCCAAGTAGAGTGTTTACACTAATCTAACAAGCACTCGATTTAACGAGTTCAAAATTAATATGCTTAAGAATTAATTGCTAGCACATTTCAACAAGAAAGCTCTAGCGTGAGCATGTTTTCACAATTAGAAAAAGATAAAAAGAAAGAGACAAGCAGAATTTTCTTTCAAAGAATGGAAAATAAATGTTTCTAGCCTTTTTCTTTCTGAGAAGCTCTTTTACAGGCTCTGCTATCACTTTTGGATACGCTTCCATTGCATACCATTATCTTGACAAAGCCAATATATATGCCAAGTTGCTTATGAAACCCTGCAAGTTTTTCATTGAGGTTCGAATTTTTCTTATTTTCAGCCCCCAATAACTACGTGCAGCTGAAGATCTCCATTTATGCTACTCACAGTCACAAGCCTTGAGCACACGAAAAAGACAAGGCAAAATTAGCTTTCGATTTTCTTCGAGTCTTTGCGCCAGAATGTTTTTCTTTTTTTGCCTTCTCTTGTTCGTTTGAATGCCCCCACCAAGACTACAATGTTTGTTGCAGAGAATACCAGTCTTTGTAAGTCGCTGCGAGAGTTCGCTTCAACAGACAAGGCCTTTTACGCGGTTCGTCGTAAGCACATTTTTTTTTGCCTTGAGTCCATAGGAAACCGAACATATCTTCCCATGTTGTTTGTTTCAAGTAAGATTTTGTCTTAACAGAGCTCTTCTAACGGGAGTTTACTGTATACTCAAACCTCATTATAACAAAGTTGCATCTTACACGAAAATAAATTTGTTACATCTGATAAATTCGTTATAAAGGTTTATTCTTAACACTATATTTATTGCAAGACTACTTTTGTTTACTTCATTATAATCAATATTTCGTTAGATTCGGGTTCCTTATATCGAGCTTTGACTGACAACACCAGGTTGACTAAGACAGCTTCGGTGTAAAATATTTGGCATTTATAGGTAAAACTTGGTACAGAACCTCGGTTGGAAAACAGTCAAGTGCATCTACAGCCACTCAGGTGACTCACCGTCACCGCTCCCTTGCTAGCGTCACCGCCAGCCGCTGCAGCAGCATTAAGTCGCTGCTGGCCCACGCGACCCTGACAGTGCTGGTACTGCTTGACCCGCTTGGCATGGCTCTTTCCAACATAGTGTGCTGTCGCCTGGAGGCTGCCATTAAGCTTGGCATCACACAACTTGCAGTACAGCGCCTGGATCATGTCCACTGGAATGCCATCCCGCTTGGCCGCCTCAATCGCTTGAGCCAGGCCATTTTTCGCGTTGCTCGCACTGTTTGAGTTAGCGGATGTTGCTGAGGTGCCTTCGACTGAGGTTGCAGCCGGTTGGCTCGCCGTGGTGCCATTTGCCGTCGTGGCAGTCTGGGAAGTGCTGTCACTTGCTGCAAATGTAGGAGACACACAGTGGCTACAGCATTGCTGCTCAGCAGTCAGCAAGGGTAAAATAAAATCTAGAAGAGATGAAAAATGCTTGAAAATGAAGTGCTGCTACAGCCCAATGCTTTGACAAGCAAAATGCCACAATATGTGAGTGCACACTATGTGTGCACTTGTATGTGCACACTATGTGGGAACCATGAGTTTTTTTGCGCATCCCCCTTCTTCCCAAGCCAATAAGAAGTACTGAATCCATTTCTTGGAGGAAAGTTTATGCTGCCATACAAATCTCCTGCATATAAAAATAGCGCTGCGCAAGTGCAAAGCTCAGCAAATGCTCACAAGATATTTTGTTTTGACATTCAGTCAATTTTCCCACCGGAAACCTACCAACATCAAATCAACACTAGCTGGACGTCAGGTTTCAGTACTAATCCTGGTGACTTCAAACAGCTTTCTAACTTGTTGTTGTAACGTTTGGTACTAAAACACCCAATATGGCTGGCTGTGCATCGACTATAGTCACGATGTGAAGTGGCTGTGGAAGCGTTGCGACATATCTTGCGTGAGCACATGACAAGACGCTCATGCCATGCTGGGACGTCAAAGTGCAGTAGGAACCAAAACTAGATTTCTTAAAAATACCGTTTTGCTTTTTCTGGGTGCACTCACACTTAGCAGTACATTTTCTAGGATCTTAGGGGGCCTTTCATTCGACACAAAAATACAACTGAAAATTTTCACGACTGTACCCCTCAAAGGTATAGCGCACATATTTGAAATTATATCAGCCAAGCCAGATATCTGTTCATTTCATAGATGCAACAGGTAACATACCCACGTTAACATTTTTGGATAACCTGCAGTGTCACATAACCAGTTATATTTTATTATACCCCCCCCCCCCCCACTTTTCCAGAAAAGAAAAAAAAGAAAAAGCATCTACGTCAGAAACTAACAAAATGTGGTGGTGCCCTCCATGACGTTGGTTGAGGATTGCATGCATGCTAAATAATGACCATTCAGAAAGATGGCTGCTGTGGAAAGTCTCATGTTTGACACATGTATTTACACATCTATGAGCCAATTAGAAATGCTATGGCACCCCTGCATTTTTGAAAACTTTATACACAGCACGATGTGCACACTATGTGGGAACCATGAGTTTTTTTGCGCATCTCCCCTTCTTCCCAAGCCAATAAGCCCTATAACAGCCATGCCAAGCCAAGCCAGCACTGGAATATTTCTGGGCTTCTAACACAAACACTACATTCCATTTTGCACTGTTTGCCAACGCTGTACTTACCTGGTGCTGAATTAACAGCATCAGGGTCCGGCTTCACGACAACATTTGTTGCACCATTGCCGGCATTAGGGTCCGGCTTCACGACAACATTTGTTGCACCATTGCGGGCATTAGCACTGCCAGCACTGGCAGGCGCATTCTTGCCCTTTGCACTGACCGGGTATGGGGTGTACTTGGGTGGCCGGAAGAGTGGACGGGAGCGCATGACACCAGGACATCCTCGCACGAAAGCTGGAGGTGGAGGAGGGGGTGGAGGAGGGAGAGGAGGTGGAGGAGGGGGTCCAAACATCCGCAGTGGGGGCCTCATGGGCCTCATGTGGTCTGCACCGCGAAAGGGACCACCAGGAGGCACGGGCAGCCTACCACCAGGTGGGAAGCAAGGGGCCCTCGGAGGGAACTGGCCGAAGGGTCCACCCCGGGGCGGTGGGGGTGGTGGGGTAGACATCACACCACCGAACATTGTCCCCGGGGGCCGTGCAGGACGTGGAAAGGCTGCACACAAGCAGAAACACATATAACGTACTAAAGCAGGGATTCAGGCATGTGGCCTGTTGGTCCCATGAGGTCTGTGAACCTCACACTTTCTGCCCACAAGCCAGCCACCAATGACTGTCTTCATCCATCATTCTCAAAGATTTTCTCTATAAGTATGTTCATCAACTAGATAGAGATGAATAGTCAAAAGCATTGTGCACACGAGGCCCTCATGTAGTCACCGCATATTGAAACATCACCATGAAATGAAAATAATTTCAGAATTGGCATCCAGTAATTTTGGTGATCAATATCAACATGTTAGAATCCCGGTGCCAAATTTCCTTCACAAGTGATCTTCATTGAAATGGTAACGTTTGCTGACAATATGTACAACAACCCTGCCCCCCATTCCCACTCTTACATCCTTCCCTTTCCCAGCACTTCTGGGACAAAATTGCATGACTGTGGCTTGCTGGCCAACGTGCGCGTGCGACCACAGTACTATATGCTAGTAAAGGCAAATGGCTTTTAGTAACGAAAAACAGAACAAAAGATGAGGAGGAAACGGGGCACACACGTGAGAAACGACTCACAACTCCCTCACAAAGACCGACTCGCAAACATAAAAAAAACAGGATGGCACAACTGTAAGCGTGTGGTCACTAGCGCTGATCGAGAAAGAAAAACAGCTTCTTGATATGTACAATTATGTGAGCTAGCAATTGTAAATGCACATGGTTGTCAAACATTTATCTATTTTCTCGTGTATATTATGTATTTCATGCACTCCTTCAAATAAAGTCAGTCACGAGTCAAAAAAGAGAAAAGAAATGCTTCAAAGCCAACTAGCCCGTCAACTAGGTCGAACAAAGCTGCTTTAGACCTACAATAAACCTTACATTTAGACAGCGTGGATATAGACGAGACTTCTGGCAAAATTTAACTTTAAGGGGAGACGCTCCTCGAAAAAGTTTTTTTTTATTTCTAGTAATAGAGACTTGAAAAGTTTGTTATTAGTATAGTTTTTCATGCAGATTTCAAATATGCAATCAGTTTTTGTGTAGCTGCTATAATTATTGAGTTATGCCATAAACAATAGCAAAAAGTTACATTTTTTGCGGGCACTCTTTTATGTACTAAACTTTCAGTAAAAGCACTGTGTCCGATCTTATTTGACTCTTGGTAGATTGAAAAGTGCAAATATCTATATAGATATGTCACAGAAATATTGGAACCAAGAAAAAAAAATTGTATTGAATGACTTATTATTTTCAATCTCCCTTGAAACAATAAGCTAATATTTTCACAACTAATGCTGGTAGGCATTGAAATTTAGAGTAGATATTTGCATTCTGCATGTGTTGAAGAATATGTGTGCCAAGTTTCGTTACTATACAATGAATATAAGTTTCTAAAAGGCTGCCCGGAAAACGTGAAACTGTCAGAAAAAATGAAAATGAGAAAAACAAGTTTTAAAGTTCGCAAAGTTGGCATTTATTAGGAAATCATTCTTTTTGCATCAAATTGGGGCACAATAAAAAGTACCTTGCCTTGAATGCACTGCAAGTGTCTAGAAGTCTCCTGCACCATAGCTTGGTCCTTCACGGCTCTTGCGGTCAGTGTCCTCAACACGAGCTCTCTTCGCTGTGTTGCGACGGTGTGCCCTCGCTTCTGCAGTTTGCTTCAGGTTCATCTTCCTGATGTGCATGACGTCACAGTGGTCACCATGTGTGGCCAGATCTTGTGAGGGGAGAATTCCAATGCCTTCGAGCACTTCTTCAAAGCCCCTGTGGCCTTTGTTGTACCAGAGTACAGCAAGAGCGGTGGCTGTCTCCACAGTTGTTCTGGAGGCGAACTTTGTTTTTGGACATAGCAGCCATATCTTGCTGTTCAGCGATTCGGCTGCATTCTGTGTCTTGCCATGAAGGCACCGAATAAGGAGTTTCTCCTCTGTAAGGCGCTTGTAGATAGGCATAATTGCCAATCCTTGAGCCTTCGTCAACAGTGGGGTGTGGCATGGTGCAGGCTCCCCCAGTGCTTCCGCACGCTTGTGCTTGCACCACGAATTTGGTCCCGCGGGGCAAAAGTTGTGGCTACTGGCACCATCACTGGAGCAGCAATGAAAATACGATGCCCATATGGCAGTGTACATATTTCGGACACTGTCCTTGTTGCTCGTGATGGCGATCTTGTAATATGTTTGTAGTTTTATTATTGTCGCATCTTTCAGTTTTTCGCCTCGTGGCAGTGGCGTTGCCAATTTCCGTAGGGCAGTTCCCAAGCGCTTTGCAACGGGGTTCGTGCACTCTTCTTTGTCAATGGGGGTGTCACAGTATACATTTGCCTCGCAGACTGCAGTGTAGGCAGGCCTTGCTGTCACCATCACTTAGGAAGCTGGTGAATCGCAGTGGAATTTCATAAGACAAGGTCCTCTGCCATATATTGACAGCTGCCACAGGTTCCATTGCATGGGATGAGCAGTCAGTGTTTTTTTGGCAAACTGGAAGATGAAAAGCTCGCCATATCTCTTCATCCTCCCCAAGGTCCCTGTGTATACTGCAAGCATGGCAGTAGTTCGAAAGAACTTCAATATCGAGGCAGAGCCCCGTGTCCAGGGACACGACTGTGCCCACTCCATTGTGGCTTTTATGACCTCTTTTCTGCCAGGTGCCATCAAACATGACTGGCACATCTCTGCCGCCGACTGCGTCCTTCGTGATGTTTCGTGCCTGGTGCAAGTTTTTGCTCACTGCCGTCATCGCCGCACCATGGAGCTTCTTGCAAATGCCGTTGAATGTCTTGTGATGCATCGGGCTCGGAAGACCGAGAATCGCACAAAATCGTGAAAGTTGGTCGTGGCCTGCGCCTATAGCGCGTGCTGCCAGAACTGCCTTCACGTTTACAGCAAAGCTGTCACGCGAGCTGCCGCTGTCAAAACGAGCGCTCGTTCCTTGGTTTCCGGCCGAAGCAGTACGTCTCGACGTGTGCGTGAACGAAAGTGCAGATTCAGGGCAATCAGAATTTTGACAGCACAGTTCGAGGAATGCCGAAAGTCCTTTGCGCTTTCCAGCTGCCTCTCGCACGCCGAGCTTCCGTTCGCGGCAGGTTGGGCATTGCGCACCCGCCAGAAGTGCTGCAACGCATCGATTTCGCAAAGCAGCATGTTCGCAGTAGCAGCATCTACCGGTCTACGTTCACTCTCGAAGAATCCAATCTTCCTTTGGGATGCACTGAAGAATTACACGGCAGCGGCTATTTCACAACCACTGTCGCAGGGTTCGGTGACGGTGTTAGGCCTATCCGAAGTCGGAGCGTCGGGGCGTTGGTCGGGGGCGACATCGTCGTTCGCTGTCGCTTTGCGAAGCGTCCGACGCCGTTTCCCTCGATACTTGTGGCGAGTTCTGAACTTTCGATTATCTGAACTGCACTTCTTCGGGCTTGCCATGACGCAAAAATGCAGAGAAACGCAGAAAAACTCGATCGCGACGTCCGAGGCTTCGCTCTTTTGCCGGAGAGATAGGAGGGGGAGGAGCGTGGAGCGCACTGCCGTCCAATGGCGGCCTCGCGCTGTGTGCCGCAATATTCAAAACACGTGACGTACGCGTTGTTTTTCTCGTTTTTTGTTTATTCTGCGTGAAGGCACGAGACTGGCTACTAGTGGATTATGAAGGATACGGCCTTCGCAGCATGCGTGCACGATTGCAAATGGCGGCCAACGCGTCGTTTTCGCGACAGGACGACGCGAACTTCGCCGTTTTTCGCGACTTTCGCGCATTTCTCGCGTCACCGCTGCCCACTTGGAAGCATTTTTTGATAATTTCTCGTGCGAATTTCAGCTTGATATTTTCAGAAGTAATAGATTGTAGTCCAAGGATGCCAATACAGCCGGAAAAAAAAAAAGCGAAAATTTTCCGGAAAACCGCGACTTTTCGACCCGCGTCTCCCCTTAAATGGAAGCAAAACTGTTAAGAACGCTATACCAGCCATTTGTGACAATGATGATGTTTGGTGCTTTGTGGGGCAAGGGCCATTTGATGGCCAAAGAGCGCCAGTTCATGGGGCAAAAGATGTGGACAATGATTGCGATTAGCGGCTGTATAAGGGCCTTGAAATTCTTCGCGCTAAAGCGGGTAAAAAGATAGAAGTAATAAAATCATGACCACGCCGTGAAAAGTGTGCGGTGTTAATGAATGACAAAAGTTTGTGATAGTAAAAACCATGGTGGACATGTATGGCATTAGCACAAGCGCCTCCATCGTTGGCACCCTTGCATCCAAGGCCATGAGGCAAGTGCTTTACACAGTGTAGCCACCGCAGCAAAGAACTCTCTAGAGAGGTCGTGCTACGGATTGCCCGGGTATATCACATGACAGGTTCTCTAAGAGGAGTTCTCTCAGAAAAGCCAACAACGATTTATGTGTGAAAAGTGGTTCCCTACTGACGAACATTGCCGGATGAAGTGGTATCTGTTGTCGGTAGGGTAATGGAAAGGGTTGTCTTCTCAGCGTGTCTAATTGGTTACATTGGATTAAAATGTGAAGTACAGTGAGTGCTTCTCCACATCTATCACACAATAGTGGGCCACCACGAGACAAAAGAAATGAATGTGTAGAGTATGTATGTCCTGTTCTTAACCTTGTAGGTGTTACTTCTGTGTGGCGTGATTTTGATACTGGCGGCCAAGGCCAAGTTGCGGCTTGACGACATGCAATTTAATGTCTGCGAGTGTGTGTCCCATGTGCTCTGCCAATAACCACTGAGCTTTCCTTTTACAAAAGGTTTCAAGTCGAGTGCGGGAATTGGTATCGATGTATTGGTAGTGGTTTTGTTGGCGGATCCAGCTAGCTGATCCACCAGAACGTTGCCTTGTATTTCGCGATGTCCTGGCACCCAGCAGACTGCTTGTATGAGTAGACCGTGCATAAGAGCGAATCAAGTGAGACAAGGACAGGGTTTATGTGCTTTTTAAGAGTTTTTAGAGGTTTTACTACGCTTAGTGAATCTGTATATATTGT